GAATCAAAAGGAACTGAGCCAAATTAAGAGCTTTTGGTATAAATGTTGGAAGCTGAGAAAAGCCATGTCAAGCCGCAGCAAACTCCCCTTCATAAAGGTGGCAGAGGGAAAAAATAAAATAAAAAAGAAGAGAATAAGAGAGAAATTACCTTTTTCATTTTTCTCCAAGTTAATATTTGCAATCTAGCTACACTTTTAAGTGATTGACGTGGTTACTAGGAGCTAAGAAACAAAAATGTTTCAGATGAGAACATGGACCCCCTAAATTCAAAATGCCAGCACCTCACACACCTATCCTGGCAGCACAACCAACATTCACCCTCATCTGCTAAGACAAGTTCTCAGAATCATAAAGTTCATTAACCTGCACTTCAGTAGTAAATAACATTTAAGTTTTGGAAATGTATTCTTCTATTCGGCAATTCAATACCATCACTTGTAACAAAAACCAATAGCCAAGTACAACTCAACAACCTCAAGACAGAGCACCAAACTTAACAGAAAAGCTAGAACCCCTCTCCAAACTAGAGGAATGCTAGGTTAGTATAAATATTTAACATAAATAAATGAATAATATCAGAAATATATGCTGACATACTTAAAAAATTAGATGTGTGAAAAAGGTTTTCTTAGAAATGACAAATATCCTTAGAATTAGTGAAGAAGGAAAGAAATAAGAAAGGAAGGGAAGAAGGAAGGAAAGAATCAGAAAAAAATGAAGTAGGGAAGAAGGAAGGAAAGGAGAGAAGAAGGGAAGGAAGGTAGGCAGGTGATCTTAGGAATTTGGAAGAAAATTGATACAGCTCAAATTCACAGTAATGCCAAGATACAAAAGGAAGAATAATTAGAGGGAAATTTTATAGGAAACTGATGTTGAAAGTTGGTTTCAATATTTGCCTAACAGACGGAATAGTCTGGAGGGTAAGAAAATGGACACAACAGCCAGACTTTCTGGGTGGTTGGATTCCTGACTCCATAGCTTATTAGCAAGTTACTTAACCTCTCTGTAAACTGGCATAATAATAGTACCTACCATAAAAGTTTGCTGTGAGAAGTGAAAGTGTTATTATATATAAAATGCTCAGAATCGTGCTCAGCACATATTTAGTGTTAAATAGGCCTTGTTACAAGGAGTCTCTAAAAAGGGGGTGAGGGGCAGAGTAGAAGAATGATTACAAAGAAAGGGATAACCACAATCTTTATTTGAGGATATATTTAGTAAATTAAATTATATGGAAATTTATGTTGGAATATTGGTTGGAATGGCATATGGATTAGTCTGGAGAGACGAGATTTTTACATTTTTGAATGTTGCTGTTCATAAAAATCTATGTCTCTTTATTTAGTTCTACTTTAATACCTTACAATAAAACTTTACAATTTTCTACATAACGATCTTCCACATTTTTTGTTAGATTTATTCCTAGGTTTTATATCCTTTTGTTGCTGTTACGTTCTTTTATTGCCATTGTGAATTGTATCTCTTTTTATAATATTTTTTTTTTTGTTTTGTGCTGGTAATTAAAATGCAATTGGTCTTTGAATATTACTTTTCTTTCCGTCAAATTTGCTAAACTCACATTAACTACAGTAATTTATGTACAGATTTGTTTTTTTTATGTAGACAATCATATCATCTGCTAATAATTATAGTTTTACTTCTTTTCTAATTGCTTCACATTTCTTTCTCATGTTATTGTGCTAGTTAGGCCTTCCAATGAATAGATGTAGCAAACACCTCTTTTATGTATCTGATTGTAACGAAGATTCACCTTTGGAATGTTTGTTGTAGGTTTTACGGATGCTGTTTATACATCATCTGTTTATTTTATTTAAATAAAAATATAGGGAATTTTATTGTATTCATTGTTTGTGGGTAATGCTATCCCTTTACATTTCTTTTTGGAATGCATATAGTAACTCAATATTTTTTGACAGATGGCTGACTGCCTCTAATTTTTAATTAAATTATATTTGATTATTTTGAATGAATTTGATTTTTAATTTCTTTATTTCAATCATGAGTATTATGACATTTCAAAGGTGGTAATAGAAATAATAATGATAATGATAATTATGACAGACGATGACCTTCATTTATTGATTTTCGATTATATGCAAAGTACTGTGGATGGTTTCATTTTGTTGCATGATTTATTCCTAATTTTTTTCAATGATCTCCAAGCGAGACTCAGCAAAGTAAAATACATTTATTCTAAGTTCCAGGTAGTAAGTGAAGTTATCTTGATATTAATTCAGCATGGTATAATTGTAATAACTTGTGCTGGTTACAGAATGCAACACTTTCTCACTTGATAATTACGACATCTTTTATGCACTACAGATATCAATTTTGTTTACTATTCTATCTGAAAGCATATAACATCTCAGCCCATAAGCACTCCTGATTTTCTTTTGTGTATTCTCCTAAAGATTATATTTGTCACAATTGTTCTTTCTTCTTTTCCATAGCCATTGTCCTCAATATACGATTTTGCAGTTTTAGCTGGGCATTTCTGGTAAAATAGTTGCTGAAAGAAACGGCATTGAAAGTGGAAAGTAGACTAGACAGCAGACACGTCTAAGGAAAAAAGTAAGACGTGTTTTCAGTATGGAGATCTAGGACATAAGTGAATACATTGTGTAGATAACAAAAAATGTACCATTTTGCTCAGCTGATAGAAGACAAAATAATAGAGATGGTTTTAGAAGACAAATAGAAGACAAAATAATAGAGAACACCCACAAGTGTTCCAGATGGACTGCCAAGCCCATGACCAGATGATGTCAGACTGATAACTAGAGTGACCAGATTGACTCCATTTGTCATAGAGATGGTAAGGCAAAACAGGAGCCTGACTTGAACTTGGAGAAAAAAAGATTTGCCAGAACCATGAAGATGTAAGGTTCTGAGCAGATATAACATCACATATGGGTTCATTGTTTAGACCAGAGTGTGTGTGAAAAACCAGCTAAACTCCAGAGAATGACCACTGCCATTTAGTCAAGTCTTCTGTTTTAAGACTTAGGCTCATTCAGTGTGTTTGCTTGACAGCTACCCCTGATTCATCAGAATCCCTGCTGGACATTGTGAGCTTTGAGGGAGGGTCTGACTCTGAAAGATGCTTCCTCTCCCTGGGCCCATTCTGGGCTTCCTCTACGAAGACTAGAGACAGGTTTCCTATGATCACAACAGGATCATGCACTGGAGTCCTCTGAAATGTAAACCAGAATCAGAACCTGCATCCTGCTGAGTTGTCATGTGACTGATTAACAACAGTGTTCACAGTCTTATGAAACAAGTCTGAGGATAACTTTTTTTTTTTTTTTTTTGGTGGTTGTTTTGTTTTAGAGAGAGTCTTGCTGTGTCATCTAGGCTGGAGTGCAGTGGCATGATCATAGCTCACTGTAACCTTGAACTCCCAGGCTCAAGGAATCCTCCTCATCAGCCTCCTAAGTAGTTAGGACTACAAATGCGTGCCACCATCTCCAGCCAATTTTCTAAAAAAATTTTGTAGAGAAGAGGTCTCATTTCATTGCCCAGGCTTGTCTCAAGCTCCTGGCCTCAAGTAATCCTCTGGCCTTGACCACCCAAAGCACTGGGATTATAGGCGTGAAGCACCACGCCTGGCTAAAGATAACTGTTAAAGGAGAAATGTATACTCTGTCTTCTCTGATGATCCCCATGGCTAAAACAAAGCAATTTAAAAATAAATCTTATTCGAAAGGAAAGTGTAAATTTCTTTTTTTAGAAAAGATGGATATTACAACCTAAGTCAAGGAAACATCTCAATTCACATTCAAGTGTTTAATTATAGAGGTGAAGAAAAGCTGAATTGTTATTTTTTCTACACAGAGAGAAGTTGGGTCTATTTCTTCCAAGTCAAACCAGCTAGCATGTAAACAACTCTGAAGCACTTTAAATAAAGTTAAACATTAAATTGCAAAACCAAGTAACATTTTCTGACTTGGATAATTCAAGGTCAGAAACATTTCCTGTGATATGTGAATCCCAAAGTTGATCATTATTTATCCCAGGGTCCAGAGTCCTTCAGAAATGACTCAGGGAAAAATCTTTTACCTAGAAAGGTGAAATTGACACTACCCTACATGATAATGGGCTTAAGTTTTCCATACTTAAATTCTTAAAGTGCAGAAGGAAGAAATTTTTTTTTTCTTTTTTTCGTTTTTTTTTTTCTTTTATCTTATAAAGAATATAACAAAACTTACCCGAAAGCATTGTGAGGATGACATGTAATAAATGTGCAGTAAATGGTAGCTCTGACTCCCCCTCCCCAGGACTCGGGTTCCTCCTTCTGAATTCTTGATCCATGATATATCCTACCAGGCTCCCACGTCTCAGCCAGGGTGTTGAGAGGTGGTTTACGCACTCTCCTCTTACAATACAGTTCAAATAGGTATAAAGAGTCAAACTCAGAATCTAAAGGAAATCTCCTCAGGGCCATAAAGTAAGAAGAGATTTAAAGTCAAAGTGAAGAGTATGAGCTAAGGCCAGGAAAGTCATTAAAACACAGAACAATGTTTAAATTTCCATGGCTGACTCTAATGCTCATATAAAGAAAGGAGTCTGGATTACAAACCCAGGGCATTCAGAGAGCTGGAAATAAACTACAGAAAGCTAGGATTCTGAAGACTTTGCCTCATCTATGAGACAAGGACAAGCGGACTATACACACTTTTGGAAAGCAGTGACAGTGCTTTTGACTTCCTGGGTGTTAGCGCAAGAGTTGACCACAAGAAATTGAGAGAGTTTGGCCTTCACTGTGCACATGTAGGTATGCCAAATTTATGTCACTTATTTTCCAAAGTGGTTATAGAATGGCCATAAATGCTACATGATAGCATGTGTGCAAATTTAGAAATAATACAAAGCATTATTAATTATAGTTTGTGAATACTCATATAAATAGCAAGAATAAAAAGAAATGGAGAAATCATATTATATTTATGTCAGGCTTGTTTTGTTTTGTTTGGTTTGGTTTGCTGAGAAGAGGACAAGGACCCAGGGAAAGAGAAAGCAACAGAATGAATGAAGTTCAAGTTCATCCATAATATTACAATTCACATATTTCAAAGAAGAAAAAAAATAACAAAATTTCAAATAAGGGGGAAAAACAAAAATAGCAAAGGAAAAACCACAAAAAATACTGAACTCTTTAATTCTAATTTTATCTCTTTTTAACCTTTTCAAAAAAGACTAAAGACATTGAAGACACCACAAAGCAAAGCAAAATAACTATATGCAAGTGTCTGAACCAGAGGACACCTATGAGGTCCTGAGGAGACACTCTCAAGAGGAAGGTGGAGAAGCTTACATCAGCCAAAAAGCAGGAAGAACTGCAGAGGGGGTTGGGCTGGATTTCTGAATGCTGCTTCAAAGCCTATTTGGCAAGAAGCCCTTCTGAGTCAACTTTGTAGTTTGATGACTTTTATTAATGATTAGCAACTTAAGCCCTAGGGTGGCAAAGAATCCTCATCTCTCTACTCCAAAAAGTCCAAGGGAGCAAGCTTGGAGGAAATGCTGGGTTCAACTTGAAGCCCTTCCACAGACATTAAGTCGGTAAGTCACCTCTCTTGGTGTTGAGATGAAGACCTCCAAGACTTTTTTCTGTATAACAACTGACAATTTTTATATACTCCCCAACCCCAAGTTTCCTCATATGATAAAAATTAAATTGAAAAATGTAAAAATCCGTATTCACAAGACTGACAAAAGTGAGGGAGAAGAGGCAGGAAGCTGAAGCTTTGTATCTGAACATCCATATGCTTTGAAACTAGCTAATGGAGACAGTAGCAGCTATGGAAGATAATTCCAAGAAATAGGCACTCTTGTGAGGTGTTTAAAAGCAAAATGTTGCAGGTCAGACTGGCTTGTGAACAAATATCATCTCTTTCATTTACCAACTGGGTGACCTGGAGGAAGATCGTCAGTAATATCTCCATCTGGGGTTGATGTAGACTTGGCTGGTGCAGTAGTTTATAAGAGTGACTATAATAATTATTTCTATTATACCAATGGCTAGGGTGGCTTTGGTCCAAGAAAGCATCTGGAGAAATGCTGCATCAAGATCCAGTGAGTTGGTGTGAAATTTAACCAAGCTAAAACGGCTAGGGATAGAAGAGGAAATGGAGAGATGAGGCAATGGGACAGTCACCAGGGTCAGCAGAAGATGGTAGGTGAGCTGAAGGCAGTGGGAAGGAGGGAATCAGGGAGTCCTCAAGGCCAGAATGGAGAAGGTACAACTTTTTGTGGCAGCTGCAACTTCACAGATGTGTGGGAGGATACTATTAGAACACTCCCTGCCTTTAAACTAATCATCTCTACTGAAAGCTGATCCTTAGTGTGGTTCTCTATGAACACTGCTTTGGACCAGAAACTTCTCAGAGTGCAATATATAGTTTCTGACCCAGATAAGCAGCACAGTTTTTTAGTGGAAAATAAAGAGAACTGTTAAAACAAAAGGGATTTACTTGGAGTAAAGCCAAGGTGTAGAAAGGCTACGAGACTGATTGGAAGGGCATATTTAAGAGATCATGAGACTGCATTTTCTATGTTGTGCTACTTGAGCCTGTTCTTGGCTCACCAGTTCGTGCCTTGGAATTGCCCTCTAGATTACTTCTCTTTCCTCTAGTTACAGCCCCAGGTTGTGGGAAGGGTCAGCAGGGCTTGAATCCAGCGTTTTAAGTCAGTGAAATGTTTTGAGGTTACCATGACAGTAGGTGTCTGTCATGGTGAGGTGGGTAGACCAGACTTGCTGGCAAGAGAAGATGTAACATCCTGGTTCGCTTGGAGATAGGGTGTACAAGCTGTGTGCAGGTGGTAGACTGTCATGTGAAGCCTTAGATAGCTTTAAAAAGTATTAATATTTTCAAAAGTCAGGAGACAAATGGGAATATCAGTATGGAATCCGGGGACCTTGACCTTTCTGTGGAGACTGGAGATCATACTGATGAATAGAGGCAGTGACAATGCAGATGCAGGGCTGGGTATGAAGGATGTCATCTTAGCAAGAGTAGCTATGCTTTGCAAAGGAGGTCACATCATTGAAAAGGATATCAGTGGGAAGTGAAGTCTGACTCCTGTTTCAGGGTTTTCATGCCTGAAAAGCATTCATTGCTATATGTATATATACATATAGTAATGTATATATACTATATGTATATAGTAATGAATGTAGTATACATAGTACATATCTATTTCTATATGTTTATGTAAGTTTGTGTCTTTGTGTCTTTGTGGATGTAGATATGTAGTGTGTATACGTACAAACAAGCCCCCCCCACCACACACACTTAGATGAACATTGTTTGATAAATTTCTTAAGTCCAGGAAGTTCATAAACAATAAATTAAGCCCAAATTTGTGGCTTAGACTTTTTTTTTTTTTTTGGTGTTAAAGCTCCTATTATGGCCGATTCCAAGCTACCATCATGACATTACTGAATTCAGAATTGGGGAGAGTTGCACAAAAATTCAGAGTTGCACAAAACAATGAAGTTTGACCCATCTTTGTCATTTGGTAAAATATCTCCCAGACAATCTTTGAATATAGAATCAGGGCAATTTCCCTAGAAACAGAAGACCTATTTTTAAAATCTCCTGGCCACACCATGGAATTAGAATGCCCAATGGCAAGATATGAAGAGACATTAATACTACACTTATCATATGATCCAGGTATTCCACTTCTAAGTGTTTATCTAAGAGAAATGAAAGCACATGTCTATACAAAGACCTGTACATGAATGTTCACTGCAGCTTTATTTGTAATGGCAAAAAACTGCAAACAACGCAATTTTTAATCAAAAGGTAAATGAATGGATGAACAAATTGTGATACAGCTATGGAGTGGAATATTACTCAGTAATTAGAAGGATTGAACTATTTTATATGTACGACAACATGGATAAATTTTAAAATAATTGTACTGATTGAAATAAACCAGGAGAAAGGTGAGTACATATTTTATAATTCCTGATATGGTTTTGTCTGTGTCCCCACCCAGATCTCACCTTGAATTGTGGTCCCTATAAAAGTCAAGTGTCAAAGGTGGGGCCAGGTGTGGCCAGGAATCATGGGGGCAGTTTCCCCTATACTGTTCTCATGGTAGTGAAGAAGTCTCATGAGATCTGAAGGTTTTATAAACGGGAGTTCCCCTGCACAAGCTCTCTTGCTTGCTGCCATGTAAGATGTAGCTTTGCTGTTTCTTTGCCTTTTGCCATGAGTGTGAGACCTCCCCAGCCATGTGAAACTGTGAGTCCATTAAACCTCTTTTTCTTTATAAATTACCCGGTCTTGGGAATGTCCTTATGTCCCTCCTCTCTTGGTGAATATATACCTCTGAATAATAAAACTTCTACTATAAAGAGATATTAAGAAGTTATTCCTTAGTTTGCAACAATGATATCAGGCCAGTTCTGGTTAAGTACTAGTGCTTAGATATTTAGGAAGATTTAATTTATTAAGCTGACAAGTTTGGTTTATTAGTGGTAGAAGCAGTTACATATTTTAAGATGTTTTCTTTAAGAGAGTCAAATTTAATAATATGAGCAGTAAACATAGCACAAATATTACAATTCTACATATAGTAACACATAAAAATCTCCTTGGGCATTGAAGATCCTAGTATTGTAATACAGTAATGGTTTTTTTAGTTGTCTTATATGCAAAAAGGTCACAATCTCCATGTTAGTTATTTCTAGAAATCTGTAGACACATCATCAACCTATGGACAATAATAATATGAGATTTGAATGTTATCTTCTCATTATGCAAATTTGGTCCCCAATTATGTGACACACATTGATACAGTGGGTCAAATGAGGAAGCAGTATGGGTGTTGTCAAGGGCAGTAGAAGCCAGGTTCTCAGGTGCAGGTAGAAGATTCCAGAGGAGCATAGCTCTGAAGTGACCCACTGCTGTGGTAGCTCCAGTGATGATGACAGTGAACTACAGCTTTTATTTACTGGGTGTCTGGCAATGTTCTAGGTATATGCAATCTGTTTCAGCTGACAGCAATTTTTTGATGAAGATGTTATTGTTATTAACAACAGATGAGGAAACTGAAACACACAAATGTGCTCCTAGTGGCACTTGGCACAGTAAATCATGAACCTGAATTTGAACTTGGGAATACTTAACTTCAAAGTCATTGCTCATAAGCTGGCACACCGAGAGCACTCTAGATCCTAATAAATAAACAATTCCAAACCTTAGGTGCAGTATGCCTGTTGTGTTGAGCCAAGAGGGGATAATGAACTTCCCTGTCCCCAACCAGATGGAATGGGCCAGCTTTTGCTTCCTTGGTGCCCCTGTTTAAATATTTCAAAGGGAAGTCCCTTTCTCTCAACTGATGCATGTGAATTACATGTCTCCCTGATAGGTGGAAACCATTCACCTGGAGAGGAGAAACACAATGGCCACCAAGACAGAGTTGAGTCCCACAGCAAGGGAGAGTAAGAATGCACAGGATATGCAAGTGGATGAGGTACTGATCCCCAGGAAAGGTAAATTCGACCTCAAATGCTTGGTTTTAGGATTTTACAGTGAATTCTTTTTGTCAATGTATTACTATAAAAATGAATTTGTGATTTTTACGTTCTTTAATTCTTTTTACAAATCCAGTGAAATTAACATATTTTGCAAATATGAAGGAAATAAATATTACTAAAAAGAAGCATTTTATTTTTGACAGTTACCTTTCAATCTTTATCTATCGAATCTTTACGTTCTTGATAATTGCTACTGAATTGTCTACACATAGGATTGTGTGTCCTGCTTGTGATTGCATGTAATATTTTAAATGTAACTGTATTGCTTAATTTAAAAAAGAAAAACCAATTATAGATACTTCAAAAAACAAGAAATAAAAAGGTTTTCATCAGCTTAATTCAATGACTATAATTTAATTTTATTGCCTTTATTTTGTATGCATATTTTGCATAGTTCTACACTTTATGTACTGTGTTGTATATTTTTTAACTTGACAGCATATACTTTTCCATATTGATTTATTAGATTCATAAAGTGTGAATCTCTTTGTGAATCTTATAAAGCAATATGGATTCTTAAAGGATACGTATTATATTCCAACATAGCCAATAGATGAAGTATTATTTAGCTGAAAAACCTTCTTGTGACTGGATATTTAATTTGTGGAATTTTCTTTTGTTACTCGGCTATTATATCTATATATGAACTATATATGTTACTTAGGTTATTAGATGCATATGAACTATGTATGTAAGTTAGTATATATATGATGATAAATGAACATTATTTAACACAACACTAGTCCACACTGGAATTATTTCTTCAGGGTTTATTCCCAAGAAACAAAAATTGTGAGGCAAACAGTTTACATATTTCATTTCCTTTGTTCACTGCAGAGACCTTAGTTTTTAATCCAAACAAAAATAAAATCACAGGGAGGATTTTGAGCAGAAGAGGAGGTGATTTTATTTATGGTATGATGAGGATACTCCAACTGCTGTATTGAGAATAGATTAGAAGCAAGGAACCAAGCTGAAGGTTACTGCAAAAATTCAGGCAGGAGATATTGATAGCTAGAACCACATGAAATTAGCTTTTAGTCAAAAAATAACAGTGGCCCTTGTGAGAAGTTGTTGGATTCTATACACATTTTGAATATGAAGACAATACTACATTCTAGATCAAGGATTGCAAAGTGTTTGGAAGAAAAAGATTTCTATCAGTGGAGGTGGGAAAGACTCTGGGTAGAAGTTTTGAGGTGGTAGGGCTCAAGAGTTTAGTTTCGGACCTATTCAGTTTGATCTGTTAATCGGTTGATCAATTGAGTTTTAGTGGAACAAAAATAATGATGTATCAATGGTGCCTTCAGTTTGACAAAATGCAGTATTATTGTATCATATCTATACTTTATTTTAATTTAAAACATGCTATTGCACCAATAGTATTTTCCACTTATGTAACCAATTATCTTAGCAGTACTAACTACATGATCTAGTTTTCTCTCATTAATTGCCACAACACTCTTTACACATTGCATGATTCTTTTGGATGTTTTTCTATTGTTCCTTATATTTTTCTGAGTATTCTTATTCTTCAATACAATAATGTCTTATCATTTTACTCTCATGATAAATTTTGTAATGCAAATATCTTTCAATACTTACCCCCCAAAATTCTTGTATAGTCATTCAACTAGGCTTTATTATTTTTTTGCCAACTATACTCATTTTCTATTTCTGCATGCATATTACCATAAACATAGTAACCTGAAACAGCACACATTTATTATCTTACAGTTTCTGTGGCTCAGAGCTCCAGGCATGGCTTGGCTTAACTCGTTCTTCTTCTCTGGGTCTCACAAGGCTACAATTGAGTGGTTAAGTTGCATTCTCATCTACAGGATAGACTAGGGAAGAGCCCACTTCCAGGCTTATTCAGGTTGTTGGAAAAATTCATTTTCTTATAACTGTATGATTGAAGGCTCTGGCTGTTTGCTGGATTTTGACTGAAGGCCATTCTCGGGTCTTAGAGGATGTTCATGGTTCCTTATCATGTGAGGTTCTCCAACTTTCTGCTTACTTCACCAAGCCCACATGAAGAATGTTTATCTTTAGTCTGCTAAGATGGAGTCTTATATAACATAATATAATCATGGAGTGACATCCCATCACCTTTGCCATATTCTGTTGGATACAAGCAAGTGAAAGTTCCTGGCCCCATAAAAGGGAAGGGAATTATATAAAGGTGAGAATACCATGAGGTGGTAATCACTGGGGCCACCTTAAGGTCTGTCTGTCACATCAAATTAAGAAACAAGCTTCCTGGATTTTGAGTACAGTAGTACTGAATTCATTAATAAAACCTCTCACGTTCAAAAACCTATGATTTCATGGTGTCAGTGCCCTCTTCCAGTAGTTTAACAGAATATCCTCAGGTGCTTCTTAATTTACACTTTCTCACATGCATACAGACCCACACATTCTCGTATAGCTAGGGGTGATCACAAAAAATTTAACAGACAGCACACCACTGGCACCAATCTATTGGAGTAGGCACAACTGTGTTCATTCAGAATGGACACAGGACAAAATAGCTTTTAAGGATACAAATAGTGGCCTGCAGGAAACACTTAACATCTGGCAAGCACCAGACTAAACCTGTTAAATACACTCTCTAGTTAATCTTTCAGCATTCTCATGAGGCAAATGTTCAACTTCCTCATTTGTAAGCCATTAGTCTCCTGGTTTGCTGATACCCTTTTTGGTAGCCTTTGGCACCTAGGATCCCAAAGGAACTTGGGAAAATCAGAGGCCACAAAAACTCACAAATTATTAGTTGATTTGAATGATAGAGGAAGTCACCACCAGCACTGAATCAGATTAAAAAAAAAAAACAAACCCTTACAAAGATGTTATATTTGAGTTCATTCACTACAAAGACTTGTACTCTATCAATAGAAGATAGCATAGCCATAAGGGGAATCCTCCTTTGTTAATGTCACGGCACCTCTTTATCCCACATCACAGAGCCACATAAACCCTACAGCTGGGTGCACGTGGATTGTATTAATCACAGAAGTATTCTCATGGAGTCATCTTGGACAAAACAGAAACCACCATACATATGTGCTACAGTGGTTAACAGCATAGACACCTGAGCTACATTGTGAGCTGGTCTCTCTGTGCCTGCGTTTCTTCATCTGTAAAATAGTAGCAATAGCTGCCTCATAGTGTTATTGTGAGGATTTGACATCATGTTACACGACCTATCAGGAATATCTGAAGTACCTACTGACTCCCTCTTCCCTGAAACTCTTGTCCCCTTGGCTTCCAGGACACCACACTCTTCTGGTTTTCTTCTTATCCCACCACCCATTCCTTTTCACTTTCCTTTGTTTGCTCCTCCCACATCTATCCAACCTCCAAATACTGGAGAGCCCCAGAGTTAGTCTTTGGTTTTCTTCTCTATTTATTTCCATATCCCAAGTTTTATGGCTTTAAGTATCTTCTGTAGGTTATTAACTCCCAATGTTATGCCTCAACTCCTACTTCTCTTCTAAACTTAAGAACTGTATATCCAACATGCTCAACACCTTCTCTTTGGTGCCTAAGAGGCATCTCTGTTTTAACATGTCCAGTAATAAGCTCTTGATCACCCCACCTTACAAACCTGCTCCTTCCAAAGACCTTTCTTCCTAGGAAAGTAGAACTTCATTCTTCTTATTGTTTAAAACAACAAGCTCTCCAATTCCCCTTCTCCTTGCCTTCCACCCACCTGTAAAACTGAAACTCTCATTTGGTGTTTTTTCCACTCTGGGATTTATCTGGGGTCTGACCACATCTTAGCTACTGCCATGACCCTAATCCAAGATAGCTTCACTTCTCTTCTGAATTATTGCAATGGCTTCCTAACTGCACTTCCTCTCTATTGTTTTGTTCTCATTTCTGCAACCAAAGAGATCCTTTCAAAATGTAAGTCACATCATGTTCCACTTTTGCTGAAAACCCTCCAGTGGCCCCCGTCCCACTCAAAGTAAAAGCCAAAGTACCTGCAACGGCCCACATATCTTGAACAATTCAGGCCCCATTATCTAGCTTTCCTAACATCTCTTCTTGTACCCCTGGCTCACTCCATTCTGTCATAGTCCCCTCTTTTTGATTCTTTGAACATACCAGGCACTCTCCAACCAGCCCCAGGGCTGTTCCCTCTACTTGGTATGTTCTTTCCCCAGATGTCTGCATGACCACCTCTCTGGTATGTCATTGGGATGTCCCCCCTTTCTTGCTTTATTTTCTCTACAGCATTTATCACCTTCTAACACATTATTTGATTTACTGTTTGTGTTTCATATTTTGTGCTTCTCTCTGGAATGTGAGGTCCCCAAACACAGGGCTATTTGTGTGCTACGTTTGCTGCTACACTTCTAGGGCCCAGTATTGGAGGTGATTGATAAGTGTTTTGTTCAATGATTGACTGAAGATGTCAAATCTGGACTGGAGGACATGGTCTAGAACAGTGATCAATCCAGCTCCCTGCTATTTCTGTTGCATTGAATAGATGTATCCATGCAGGCATAGGGTGAACCGGACAATCCCAGGCTTGCACTGCTAAAGTAGTTGCATGGCAGGAAAGTAGACAGCTTCCAGGCAGGCTGGAGAAGATACAGAGCTACACATGCTCAATTTATTTACCCAGTCTCATTGATCGAAGTCCCTTTTCTTCCCACGCAGAAAAAAGTGAAAGGGTTGGAGAGAGTTTCAAAGAGCTACTCTGCCTGAATTCCTAGTGTAAAAAGTCTAAGCCCAGATAAATACGGCTTCTTGGCTCATACATTTTATTTGCCCTTCAAATTAGACTGTTTGCTGTGTTCTGCCAGGATACCTTCTACTCACTTAATATAATGCTGCAAGACTTTTAAAGAAGTTGAGTAGAGACCTAACCTTTGAAACTTTTATACCATTCAATCTCATCTAAATGATTTTTTTTTTCCTGGATTTTAACTTCTGAAGAGTTCTTTAATTTCAACCACAAATGCTGATTTCCCTATGTTTTACATTTTTTGGACAATTTAGCCAGGATATGGAAAAGGGAGAATGAGATTTCTACATTTAAGTTGCCATCTTTCCTAGCTGTACACATACAGATTATTTGAATGCTGTGCTCCTTTCTTTTTCCACTATTTTTCACTTTATTTTTTCATAGTTTGTGGGCATCAATTTCTCTAATGAGAGAATCTTCCGAGGAGTTTAATCTCAAAAATTAAGTGAAAATATATCTTCAATGTTTTAAGATGTGAATGGAATACATCTATACCAATGGACAACTCTCTTCAAAGTGTAACTTACATTTCATTTACATACATAAAATTTATGCATATTATACATAACATATAGTGCATTATGTATAACAATACATGTCATATATAAATTATATGCTTTATATTTATATATAATTATACATACAAATTATATGTAATATATTATAAATTATATGCAGCAATTTAAATATGTGCACATATTCATATGTATATATTTTCCTTTCATATATATGTGTTACATACACACACACACACACACATATATGTATAAGCATTTACTTGTGAGTAAGTTCATCAACTGTAGAACACAATGACGTAGGAATGGGAGAGACAAAATTTTAGGATGAACAGAATCCCTGAGATCAAGTTAGGCTCTACAAAACTGTGGTATAAAACGTCCTTTAGCTCAACTCAGTGATCTCCTCCTTTTGTATCTTTCTTTCCTAAAGCCAACAGAAGTGTCATTTAAGTAATGATTTAAATCTTTAGGTGATCAGGTACTTTTAAAATCATATCTTGTGAAAAACTAACGTTAGCTCAATTTTAAAAAGCACTAATATGATGTCATAATATTTCCAGTTCCAAGTTTATGTTCTGCTCGTTATGGAATAGCCCTTGTCTTACATTTCTGCAACTTCACAACAATAGCACAAAATGTCATCATGAACATCACCATGGTAGCCATGGTCAACAGCACAAGCCCTCAATCCCAGTTCAATGGCTCCTCTGAGGGATTGCCTGTTGACTCATTTGGTGACCTAAATAAAGCCCCAGAGAGTCTTTCTGCAAAGGTAAGCAACACAAGATACAAATTTGTGCTTTTCTTTTTGCTGTTTGTTTGCTTGGATAATTATTTTTCTAGAGTATGTATGTTTAAAAACTTTAATGGAGAAAATAGTGAGTTGAAAGCAAGTAAAAGGTCTAAAGAAGCTTTTTAGGGTATGTGAGAATCTTTTTGTGTAAGATTTACTACAGCATTCTCTGTTTCTCTAAGGCTCCTGTGTATGACTGGTCTCCTCAAATCCAAGGCATCATCTTTGGTGCTGTTGGTTATGGTGGCATACTGACAATGGCTCCCAGTGGATACCTGGCTGGAAGAGTAGGAACAAAGCGAGTGGTTGGCGTTTCTTTGTTTGCAACTTCATTTCTCACTCTATGCATCCCTCTGGCTGCTGACTTTGGAATAGTCTTCCTCATTGTAACTCGAATAGTCCAGGGCCTAAGCCAGGTACCCAATATTTTATAAATCTGAGTTGGATATTAATTTTGACATGGCACCACACGTTAAAAACTCTAATCATTTTAATTTCAGTGCTCAGTAATTGGGGGTCAGTTTGCAATTTGGGAAAAGTGGGGCCCTCCACATGAACGAAGCAGACTCTGCAGCATTGCTTTATCAGGTAAGGTCATGTACTCCAAATGGGAACACTACAATCCAACATTCTACCACTGGGTTCCTTGACAGCTTTTCATTACATGGTTCCTCATCATCTGCTCAATGTCAATGAAGTATTTTTAAATTAAAAAGACTGGTCCTTTGTCTATGACATGACTTTCAGTTATTTTCCCTAAGATGTCATTTGTGGCATGACTTTGCCTACACTATGACTTGGAGCATTTATAAAATATTTTTATGTGGTCAAATTGATCATTTTTATGGCATCTGGATTTTGAATCATAGATAGAAAGGTTATAAAAAAAACTCCATTCATGTTTTTTTTTCTTCAGCTTGTATGGCTTTATCTTTATATATTAATTCCTGACATTTGGGAGTTTATACTATTATTTATTAGAAGGTAAAGATTCAACTTAATCTTCTTTGGAGTTGCTCTCAATTGTCCTGAGAACCTCTTTCTGATAATTATCTGCCTGGACACTGTGCTCTGAATGAATGTTCTGGAGGACGAAGTCTAAGTTATACTGGGGAAGTGTAGAAAATGAACAGTGTATGGTTAAGAAACAGGAGATTGCTAAAGTGGGTGCTAGCTGAGAAAAAAAGGGTAACTCTCCTGGTAATTTATGAGTACCAAGAAGGCAGGGACCCATCAAGTCCAGAAAAAAAGCTACACACACACCCTGACTGACAGCACACTCTAAAACCCTCATAATTCTGGAGGATTCATCTCTGCCATTTGCAACTTGGACTAAGAAAATTCACTTTGTTTATCACACTGAGGGATTATCTCAGAATACAGCACAAGAAAATCAAGAGATGGAAAGCATGAAAGAAAAGTTAAAAGACTTGGACTGAAGACAGTGAGTGACCTTATAGAAAGTAGCAACTCCCTTTCCTCTCACTTCTGAGTATATAGAGACCGAACAACCAGAATAGGTCAAATGACAGTATCTAGAAGAATCTCAGTAGCCTACAAAGGGTGCAGGTTCCAGAAGTTTTCTCATCTTTGGTGTTGAAGGACTGTTTCAGAGGCTCCAGGCGGGTGATCCTTTCCGGCCTCCCAACCTGGTTAGAGAGCATAGAGCCCATGGTTGTCTGAAGGCACCCAACAGAAAGCCACTGGAGAATCCCATCAGCAGGTGGAGTGAGCTGAACCTGCCTGCTTTCCTCAGTAGATCTTATAGAAACTGCCATTTCTGATTATCCCAGGGCTCCTCTGCAGGCTGTAATGGTGGATGGAATTACTCAGCTCATAAGGTTGGCGTAGGACTACCGCAGAAGGCATCTGCCTTTAGTGGAAGGGCTCAAGTGTTGCCAGCCTCTAGGACATGGTGTACTGTATCTTCTAAGGGAGCCTAAAAAGGTGCACCTATTATAGATAGGAAACTTTGCAGCCACTTAAGGAGTTTAGTAACTTAAGGGACTGAGCAGACCAAACAGAACTGGTAGTTCATATCTAAGGCAGGTTTTAATAGGTGATAAGAAAAATTAACCCAACTACCTTTAAATCTAAAAGTAATGCAATATCGTACAGCAGTGAAAATGAAGAAACTGTAGCTGCATGAAACAACATAGATTAATCTCAGAAACACAAATGTTGTATGAATAAAGCACGTCTATCATGGAGGAAAATGCCTTGATACCTTGGTAGCCTAAGGTATGCTACCAGACAAGCTATCTCAGAGGTCATAGAACAGATAGGCTCACAGACCACATTAGGTGCTGTAATTGCAGTGTTACGTCAATTTAAAACACAGGGTAAAAAGTAAGGGGGAGGAGTGGAAATGGGATATGTTAACCCACGTAAGATAGAGTACAAGCAGGTAGAAGCATGACCTGAATCAAGTGTGCAGAATGTTCAAGTGTTCAAACATTCTTTCTCTGTCCTTCTGCTGCACCAGCCTTACCACGGATGGTGTGGTTCTGAGAACCAGAGTTGAGGTTCAAACAGGGGTGTCTAGAGGAAAGGCATCAGGGCCAATGACATGCATTTGCTGTATGGGAAAAACACAAGGATGAGTACTGCTGGCCACAGATCCATTCCCTAAAGAATTAAGTGCCATGGCTTTGTGTTTCTTGAGCACGTGGAGACAGAATGGGTATCTCCAGTGGGTGCTGAATTAGGCCCGGACAAATATTGAGTCAGCAGTGCTGTGCTGTTAAACAGGCTTTTTAGGGGGGAAGTAAGCTCATTTATAGTATTTATCAGTTTCTGTGCTACCATAGCTGATTTCAAGATTCAGTCAAGTCACTGAATGCAGAGTTGGGAAGAGATGGCCACATTTGAATTTCATAAGCTTCAGTGCTTCCCTGATTGAGTGCCTCTAAACCTCCATGAATGTTCAGAGACTCATGTTTAAAATCATTGCCTGACTAATATTATTTGTCTCTTAGTCTTCATATCCCTTTATATCTATGTTCAAAGATAAACATGGTATTCTTAGTAAATTATTTATCTTTACTTTACATAGTTTATGAATCTTGTCTATCAATATCTCTCAAATTACTGATTTTGTTATAATCAATACCCAACACATCTCATGACATTTGAATAATCTCTTATAAGGTGAATTTATTTATTTTCTATGGTAGAAATGAATATTCTCATATAATACAGCAAACACATTACAGTGTCTTAGAAAAAGACATCCTGGATGATACAACTTTAATGAAGCCCAAAACATAAAAAACAAAACAAATACACTTTAGTTATGAACGTATATACGATACAGCTCACACACAGGTTGATACATGTGATATCAACCTACGGTAGATGCGAATGTATGTATATGTATTTGTGTGTGTGTATTTAAGCATTAAATAAGTCAATGTAAATCAAGTATTAGCCATGAGCTGTTAGGCATCTGAATGGAGATTTTATAGTTTGGAATTTGGTAGTAATATGAGAAAAAACAGGACATACTGAAAATTCCTCAGTATTTCAATAGAAATAGTATTTAAAACCCTGGTTCTGGACAAGACCACCTAGAGAAAGAACATAGATGGAGAAGAGGACAAAACCAAGGGAATAGCTGTGAGGCCTTCCAGCATTCAGGCCTTAGAAGAGAATGACAGGCCAGCAAAAGTTCTGAGAAGCTTCCCATGAGGCAGTGGGAAAACAAGGTAGGTATGTGTGACAGATGCCGCAAGACAACAGTCAGTCAGAGGTAAACGGCCAACTGTACCACACGCTGCTGGGCTTGAGCAAGTGGCCACGAATCCAGCAGGGTGGAAGTCACAAAAAATCTTAACAAGAACCGTGTCAGTGTTTTGAGAGTGAAAATGGAGGTGTGTTGGGAATCGGCTGAGGAAAGAACAAGAAGAAAGAGAATGGAGGCAGTTAGCACAGCCTTTTGGGAAGTTTTGCCTTGAAGAGAGGCAGAGAAATGTCAAAGTGCATGGAGGGGGTTCTGAAGGGTTTGTTTTGTTTTTAGCATGAGCCACAGGAAGCTATATTTGCATGTGGATGGGAAAGATTCAAGAGTTGAGGAGGGAAGTGAGGATGCAGGGAGAGAATGCATACTCTTAGGAGTCCAAGTCTGGGATAGATTGAAGGAGACGGGGTCCAGAGGATAAGAAGGGACCTGGCTTTGGATCAATGCAATGCAGGAACCTGTTCCCCATTATAGTCAAAGCAAAGGCAGAGAGTTCAAGGAAAAGATGCAAATTTGGTAGACTTAGTGGTAGAAAAAGATGCTGTTTTCCATCTCCATGTATCTGTGGCCTGGGGTCAGGCAGTCTCATTTCCAACACCAACTTCCCGTTATTAATAATGTGACCTTTGGCAAGTTATTTAAGTTTTCTCTCTATTTACTCAATTATAAATCTGACTACTAGTGCTTAAATGAGGCAACACAAGTAAATAAGAGACTTTTTTTTTTTACGTTATGAAGTGGGAAAAGATCTTCTAAACTAAAGAGTAAATGTAGCGGTCATTATAGAGGAGAATCAGAGATCTGGCTTCATAAAAACTTACAGCTGAATTACAAAACACAACATTAAAAACGTTAACGATGGGAGGATAATTGCAGCCAGCATACAGACAAAGGATCATTCACAATACATAAAGATTCTGTAAATTAAGGGAAAATTAAACAAGCAAAAGAAACAAAGATAAGAAGATTATGAACAGACAGTTCACAGAAGAAATAAAAAATGATAGCTAAAGATAGAAAAAAATGTGCAACTTTACTATGAAAAAGGAAATTAAAATGGGGTACTCTTTATTATTTATTCTACTTTTTTTTTGAAGTAAAGTCTCCCTTTGCCACCCAGGCTAGAGTGCAGTGGCATGATCTCAGCTCACTGCAGCCTTGAACTCCTAGGCTCTAGTGATTCTCCTGCATCAGATTCCTGAATAGCTAAAACTACAGTCAGACACCACCATGTTTGGATAATTTTTTACTTTTTGTTTTTTGTAGAGACAGGATATTACTTGTTGCCCAGGCTGGACTTGAACTCCTGGCCTCAACTGATCTTCCCACCTCAGCCTCCCAAAGTGCTGGGATTACAGGCATCAGCCACCACTCCAAGCTCTCTTTTTCATTAATATTGGAAAAATAATTTTTTTTTTTTGAGACGGAGTCTCACTCTGTCGCCCAGGCTGGAGTGCAGTGGCACGATCTCGGCTCACTGCAACCTCCACCTCCTGGGTTCAAGCGATTCCCCTGCCTCAGCCTCCCGAGTACCTGGGATTACAGGCATCCCCCACAACACCCAGCTAAGTTTTTGTATTTTTAGTAGAGGCAGGATTTCACCATGTTGGCCAGGCTGGTCTCGAACTCCTGACCTCGTGATTCGCCTGCCTCGGCCTCCCAAAGTGCTGGGATTACAAGTGTGAGCCACTGCACCTGGCCGGAAAGGCAATTTTTAAAAACTTTGATATACCTAACATAAATGACGAGTTAATGGGTGCAGCACACCAACATGGCACACGTATACATATGTAACTAACCTGCACTTTGTCCACATATACCCTAGAACTTAAAGTATAATAAATAAAAAATAAAATGTAAAAATGAAGGAAAAAAAAAAAAAACCTTGAGGGGCTGGGCATGATGGCTCATGCCTATAATCCAGTGCTTTGGGAGGCCAAGATGGAAGGATTACTTGAGGTCAGGAGTTTGAGGCCAGCCTGAGTAACATAGCAAGATTCCCATCTCTATAAAGAATTTTTTTAAGTTAGCCAAGTGTGGTGACATGCACCTGTCTTTCCATTACTTGGAGGTTGAGGTGGAAGGATTGCTTGAGCATGGGAGTTTGAGATTACAGTAATCTGTGATTGCACCATGTAATAAATCTCCAGCCTGAGTGACAGAGCAAGACCCTGTCTCAAACAACAAAAAAAACAAGAAACAACAACAAGGAAAAACCTTTGAGGATATTAAATGCTGTCAAAGAGACGAGGAAAAAAATATGTATATATTTTTGGCAATTTAATTTGGTACACCCTTCTAGTAAGGTACTTTGTCAGTATTTACCAAAATTTAAAATGCACATAGCCTTTTAGATCTAGACTTTGACCTAGCAAGTCTTGATCTAGACTTTGACCTAGCAAGTCCACTTCTGATATTCTATTGCACAGAAATAAATTATGTCTATGTTCAGAGTAACTACGTAGAATCTACAATGACATAAAAATGCTTACAAGACTAATTGTTGAATAAAAAGTGAAGTCCCAAAACAATAGAAACATTATGATCCTATTTAAAAATGATAATACCTATACACATATATAGTATTTGACAGCTTAATATTAATGTTCATCTGGAAAATAAAAAATACAATCACCTAGAAATGTTTGAAAAAGTGATAAAAAGGGAACATGCCCTACCATATTAGAACATTCTGAAAAGTTATACAAGTTAAAAGAGTTATTAGCACATTTATAGAAAAATCTATCTTTCTGCCTACATATTACATACATGCATTTACTAGGAGGATGACAATGTCTAGATATATATTATTTATGTGTACAGAAAAGGTATGCAATTACGTATTATATAATACATTGTTACTAACGGTTAATTTTAGAGAGAAGAATGAGTGGCTGGGAAGGCAGATGAGGGTAACTTTGGCTCCTTATAGTAGTTTACTTTTATAATAAGCATATATAACTTGTGTAATTACAAGAACTTGAAAGGAAGTATGACAGTCATCTGCTATGTTACAGGGAACCGCCAGAAAAATGTGCTCTAAGGAGAACATGTGAAATTATATGTTCTTAAATCATAAATTTGAAGTTTGTGCATTCTAATATGCTTGTCTCCTTATGGTTTAGTGCTACTGCTCTATAATATGTCATCTATCAATCTGTATGTGTTTGCCAGGAAGAAGTCTAGAGTCCCACAGCTTACTTTTTGTCTCTTTGCAGGAATGTTACTGGGATGCTTTTCTGCCATCCTTATAGGTGGCTTCATTAGTGAATCCCTTGGGTGGCCTTTTGTCTTCTATATCTTTGGTAAGCTACTATCTCCCAGTTCCCAGACTTTCATATGCAGAAAGATTCTCCTCAGTAAGTATATTTGTATGTAGTTTTCCAAATGAAATGAGTCAAGACAGATAAATCCTAGAAAACAAAATATCTTAATCTAAGGGAATAATTAGCCAATGCCATAAAAAAATTGGAAGTTCTCCTGCCTATTATAAAGTGCTATTAACCTACCACATTGTATTATTATCACACGGTAATCAGGCATATTCTGCTGCCATTGCAGGCAGTAGGGGATAGGCTTGCAGTTCAGTGGTAAGACATGGAAGGAAGAAATCCAGAGAGTTAGGTGCTGCTGTCGGTTTTGTCTCAGATTAAGCATAGGAGCAAAGCATCCTGAGTGAGGCTCAAGTTTCTTAGAGAGGAGAAAACATGAAACACCAAGAGGATGAATTTTGCCAACCTCAGCATTTGTCCCAAAGCCTTCCATTTAGTTATTAGAAATCAAGAAAGAACTGCTCCCTCCATAACTTCCACTTCAGTAGCTTTTACATTCTACTTTCAAAGCGTTCATTAGTTTGCATTTATTTGTTTATACATTTATCTCCCCTTCTGGGCAGTGAGCTCTTTGAGGGCAGAGATAGAGTCCTGTTGGTTCTTGGGACTGTACAGAGTCCAAGGAACAAAGATGTTAGTTACCATGGAAACATTAATCATGAGAAAACTGGGGGGATATATTAATATCAGACAAGAATGGCTTCAGAACAAGGAATGTTACCAATTCACAAGAAGACATAACAATCTGAAATGTATATACACCTAATGATAGAGCTTCACAATACATGAAGCAAAAACTGATGGAAGAGTAAGGAGAAATCGACAAATCCACAATTAAAGACGGAGGCCTCAATATTCTTCTCTCAATAATCAATAGAATAAGAACACAGATTAAGTACATTTTATTCAACAACAGTAGAGTACTTACTCTTTTCAAGTGTGCTTCAAACACTCACCAGGATAGACAATTTATGGCCTACAAAAATGAGATTGAACAAATTTAAATGAGTTAAAATGATAGAAAATATTTTCTTTGAACATAATAGAATTAAAGTAGAAATAGTAACAGAAAGCCTCTGGAAATACCCCAAATATTTAAAAAGTTAGCAACAAACTTCCAATGAGTTAAAGAAAAAGACACAAGGGAAAGTTTTTAATTGAATTGAATGAAAATGAAGAATCAATATATCAAATTTTGTAGGATGTAATTAAAACAATGCTTAGAGAGAAACTAACATTAAATGTTTATATTAGAAAAGATGGTTCTCAAATTAATGATCTAAGCTTATGTCTTAAAATAACTAGAAAAAGAAGATTTAAGTAAACCTAAATCAAACTGAAGGAAGAAAATAGCAAAAGTACATGTAGAAATTAATGGATTTAAACCAAAAAAGAGGTTGTGTTCAATCTAAAATTGGTTATTTGAAAAGACCAATAGCATTGACTAATCTTTAGCCAGATGGAGAGAGAGAGAGAAAGAGACAGAAACAAAGAGAGAGAGAGAGAGAGAAACGAAAGAAAAATAACCAATATCAAGAATGAAAAAGAGGACTTCAATGTAGGCAGGAGAAAATCATTGGTGAAGACTGAAGACGGTGCCTGCACTCACAGAGAATCAGAGATAGTACCCATTTTCATAAGACAGACTGAAAAGATCATAATTCATGGGTCATTGGATGGAATACTCATAAATGTTATTCCTCAGTAGTGAGAAATTATTAGCCTTAGAGGGAGTACTGCTGTGGATCTCTTTAACAAATGGTGATGGCAAGACCTAAAAGGGGCAAACTATTTCCACATAACTTAATCATATCCCAAAACAAAGCTTAAACAGATTTATAGGAATACAAAACTGTCTGGCACCCAGCAGGATATAATTCATAATGTCTGGCTCCAACCATAGATTACCAGATGTGAAGAAAAGGAGAAAAATACAACTTATAAGGAAGAGAATAATGAACTGATCAAAACTAACCCAGAGCTGACAGAGATTTTAGAATTAGTAAACAAGGTCATTGAAATAGTTACTATAGCTATACTATAGCATAAGTCTGTATGTTCAGAAAGTTAAGTGGAGGCATAGTAAATATAAAGAAGACCCAATGAAACTTATAGAGATGAAAAGTACAATATCTGAGATGAAAAATGCACTGAATGGAGTTAATGACAGATTAGATACAATAAAATGAAAGATTAATGAACTTAAAAACAGTAATATAAATCATTCAAAATGCACGATACAGAGAAAATTATAATATTAAAATGAGAACATTAGTAAGTTGTGGAGTGCCCAAAATAGAGGAGTAGGATGGGAGAACAACAACAACATTTCTCAAAAATATTTGAAGAAACAATGGCCAAAAATTTTCCAAATTGGATGAAAACTATAAATTCACAGATCCAAAAAGGTCAACGAACCTCAAGCACAAGAAACATGAAGAAAACTACATCAAGTTACATTCTAATCAAATGACTCAAAACCAGAAATAAAGAGAAAATCTTAGAGTAGCCAAAGCTAAAAGATGTGTTATAGAGAGAGGAGCAAAGATAATGCTGAATGCAGCGTTCCTTCCTGTTAGAAGCAGTGCAAGAGAGAAGGCAGTGGAACAACATCTTTAAAGTAGTGCAGGAAAACAAACCAAAAAGAAAAAAGAAAAGAAAAAAAATCTGTCAACCTAGAATTCTAGACCCAATGAAAAAAACTGTTTCAAAAACAAATGCAAAATAGAGATATTTTCAGATGTAGAAAAACTGAAATAATTAGAAATGTCAATTAAAGAGAACAGTACCATTTTCAATGGCATAAAATATATTCAACAGAGGGATAAAACCTGCCAAAAGAGATGTGAGGGCTGTGCACTGAAAACTACATTTTTATGGAAATGCAAAGATTCTAGAATAGCCAAACACCTTTGAAAATAAACTACAAAGTTGTAGGACTAACATTACCTGATGTCAAGACATATTATAAAGTTATAGTCTTTAAGACAGTGTGGTACTGGCATAAAGACTGGCAAATAGATCAGTGGAACAAAATAGAATCATAGACTCATGATTCTATTTACTTCATATAAAGTAAACTGAACTGATCTCTGAGAAAAGTTCAATATATAAAGGATAGTCTCTTTAACAGAAAGTGCTCAAAAATTGGATATCCACATGCAAAAAAAAATGAACTTCCATCCATACCTTGGATCATATATAAAAACTAAACCAAAATGAATCTCAGACCTAAATATAAAACCTGAAATTATCCTTCTAGAAGAAAACATAGGAGATAATCTTTCTTATTTAAGCAATGATTTCCTAAATATGACACCAAAAGCATGATTCATAAAATTAATTGATAAATTGGATTTCATCAAAGTTAAAAATGTATCCTCATCAAAAGGTATTGTTAGGATAATAAAAAGACAAGCTGATCCCAGGAGAAAATAATTGCAAAACACATGTATAATAAGGACTTTTATTCAGAATGAGTAAATAATTCTCAAAACTCAATAATAAAAAAACCAAAAACAAATTGGGCAAAAACCCTTCACCAAAAAAAGATAGAGAGAGGGAAAATAGGCACATGAAAAGATGCTCAACTGATCCTCAGTTATTTAAGAAATACAAATAAGAACCATGAGGTATCTCTACATACCTATCAGAATGGCTAATATTAAAAATACTGAGATATCAAGTATAGTGCCACTTCTAGGCTCTGTAATTTCCACACACACAAATAAACAGAAAATGTAAAATGGGCGAATTGTTTAAGAAATGGAAAAAGGATATAATGAACATGAGCTTTTCCTAGAACTTATGTCAGAAAATATCCCAACTAAAAGAAATTCACCCAAAAAGCAAAAAACAGCCCATTTACCAAATGTACCCTGTGCCTACAGGAGGTATTGGCTGTGTCTGCTGCCTTCTCTGGTTTATTGTGATTTATGATGACCCCACTTCATATCCATGGATAAGCACCTCAGAAAAAGAATACATCATATCCTCCTTGAAACAACAGGTACATATAAAGACACCAACACTTTCCTGAGACCTTGTATCTGAATTTTCTTGAGACTTTAAATCTGTATTTTTAAGGGTGACTAAGTGTGTGAGCTTCTCTTGGATTTGCCATTCTGACAGTAAATTTGTTTTCAGGTCAGGTCTTCTCAGCAGCCTCTTCCCATCAAAGCTGTGCTCAGATCTCTACCCATTTGGTCCATATGTTTAGGCTGTTTCAGCCATCAATGGTTAGTTAGCACAATGGTTGTATACATACCAACTTACATCAGCTCTGTGTACCATATTAACATCAGAGACGTGAGTATGTTTCCTTCCCTTCCTTTCTCCTGCTTGCATGGCTGACCAATTACTCTGCCCTCACTAATCATTCCACTTAGAGAAATGTATTTCTTATTACCAAAAATAATCTAATATTTAATATTCATGCCAGTAGCTTTTCTGCGGTATGATTTAAGAGGTTACTGATTTTCCTAAGAAAGTATGATTTCAGAGCGTCAGTATTATTAGTAGTAATTTATCAACAAAAGTTGTGGTCTCACTGCCTTTATTATGGTAATTTACTCCATCTTTTCTCTTTAGAATGGACTTCTATCTGCCCTTCCTTTTATTGTTGCCTGGGTCATAGGCATAGTGGGAGGCTATCTAGCAGATTTCCTTCTAACCAAAAATTTTAGACTCATCACTGTGAGGAAAATTGCCACAATTTTAGGTAAGAACAGAGCCTGAGGGTCAGATAATTCGCATAGCATACAACAGCCAGAGTGCATCTCACTGTTTAATTTGTTTGTTCTTCATTCCCTAGGAAATCTTCCCGCTTCAGCACTCATTGTGTCTCTGCCCTACCTCAATTCCAGCTATATCACAGCAACTGCCTTGCTGACGCTCTCATGTGCATTAAGCACATTGTGTCAGTCAGGGATTTATATCAATGTCTTAGATATTGCTCCAAGGTAGGACTCTGTTCCCCACTCTCAGTTTCACATTTTCTTTAAAAGATTTAGCTTTCAGCTTTCTGGGATCCCCAAATTTAGGAAATGAATAAACCATAAGGAAGGACCACAGATAGACCTGTGGCCATTTTTTTCAGGGATGTTGAGGGAGGGGTATTGATTTGTCTTCATCCCTCTCCTTGAATATACATAGTGCAAGTCCTTTTTGATATAATTGTCTAATTATAACTAAATATAATTGTAAAATGTAATTGAGTTATAGATTCATTCATGGATCAGGGCTGAAGGATACTGTCAAACATCTCTGGATCTAGACTGGAACATTCCTGTCACCCACAGGCATTCCAGTTTTCTCATGGGAGCATCAAGGGGATTTTCGAGCATGGCACCTGTCATTGTACCCACTGTCAGTGGATTTCTTCTCAGTCAGGTACAATTTTTTTGTCATGAAGGACTCCAAAAATGCTCTGCTAAATCCATTTATAAAGGTGATAGCATGTATTCAAATATTGAAAAATAAAGTTAAATTGTGGGTAATTTGTCATTAAGATGAACCTGGCAAAGAAAAATATAGGATCATTTCTTTGGTGACCTAAAACCTGGTTCGTTCTCAAGAAAAGAACTAAATATCGATTGCTATCTTTGAAACTGAAACCACACAGTCGCATAGGTGTCTTGGGATAATGATTCCACACATAACTGCCAACCTGCTATGTTTCTGGCAATACTTTTAATTTGTATCCAGTATCTACAAGGAAGTTAAGTTTATGAAACACAAACAAACCCTTTAAAGAGTGATCAAAGAACATGAACAGATTCTTTTCAAAAGAAGACATATACGTTCTTTTTTTGAGAATTGTCTATTCATGTCTTTAGCCCACTTTTTGATGGGACTGTTTATTTTTGTCTTGCTAATTTATTTGAGCTCGTTGTAAGTTCTGGATATTAGTCCTTTGTCAGACGTATAGATTGTGAAAATTTTCCCCCAGTCTGTGGGTTGTCTGTTTATTCTGCTGACTGTTCCTTTTGCTGTGCAAAAGCTCTTTAGTTTAATTAAGTCCCAGCTATTTATTTTTGTTTTTATCGCATTTGCTTTTGGGTTCTTGGTCATGAAATCCTTGCCTAAGCCAATGTCTAGAAGAGTTTTTCTGATGTTATCTTCTAGAATTTTTATAGTTTCAGGTCTTAGATTTAAGTCCTTGATCCATCTTGAGCTGATTTTTGTATAAGGTGAGAGATGAGAATCCAGTTTCATTCTCCTACATGTGGCTTGCCAATTATCCCAGCACCATTTGTTGAATAGGATGTTCCTTCCCCACCAGATGTCCAACAAAGATATGAAAAAATGCTCAACATCACTAATGAGCAGGGAAATGCAAATCAAAACCACAATGCAATATTACCTTACTCCTGCAAGGTTGGCCATAATAAAAAAATCAAAAAATAATAGATGTTGGCCTGGATGTGGTGAACAGGGAACACTTCTACACTGTTGGTAGGAATGTAAACTAGTACAACCAGCATGGAAAACAGTGTGGATATTCCTTAAAAAACTAAAAGTAGAACTATTGTTTGATCTAGCCATCCCACTACTGGGTATCTACCCAGAGAAAAGAAGTCATTATACAAAAAAGATAGTTGCACACACGTTTATGGCAGCACAATTCACAATTGCAAAAATATGCAACCAACCCAAATGCCCACCAATCAATGAGTGGATAAAGAAACTGTGGTGTATACATAAATATATGATATATATATATAATGGAGTACTACTCAGCCATAAAAAGGAATGGATTAATGGCATTCACAGCAATCCGATGGGATTGGAGATTATTACTCTAAGTGAAGTAACTCAGGAATGGAAAACCAAACATCATACATTCTCACTTATAAGTGGGAACTAAACTATGAGGATGCGAAGGCATAAGAGTGACACAGTGGACTCTGAGGACTCAGGGTGAAGGTGTGGGAAGAGGATAAGGGTTAAAAGACTACAAATCAGGTTCAGGTATACTGATTGGGTGATGGGTGCACCAAAATCTCACATATCACCACTAAAGAACTTACTCATGTAACCAAATATCACCTGTTCCCCAAAAACCTATGGAAATAAAAAAATTAGAAAACAATAATAAAATAAAATAAAAAATTTTAAAAAGAAGACATATATGCAGCCAACAAAGGTATGAAGAAAGCTAAATATCACTGATCATTAGAGACATGCAAATTAAAGCCAAAATGAGATCATCTCACAGCAGTCAGAATGTCTATTATTAAAAAGACAAAAAATAAAAAATGCTGGAGAGGTTACAGAGGAAAGGGAACACTTACACACTGTTGGTGGGAGTGTAAATCAGTTCGACCATTGCGGAAAGCAGTGTGGCGATTCCTCAAAGAGCTAAAAACAGATCTTCCATTCTACCCAGCAATTCCATTACTGGATATATACCCAAAAGAATATAAATTATTTTACCATAAAGATACATGAACACTTACGTTCTTTGCAGCACTATTCACAATAGAAAAGACATGGAATCAACATAAATGGCCATCAATGACAGATTGGATAAAGAAAATATGGTACATATACACCATCAAATATTATGCAGAATGAGATCATATCTTTTGCAGGAAAATGGATGGTGCTGGAGGCCATTATCCTTAGCAAACTAACACAGGAACAGAAAACCAAATACCACATGTTCTCACTTATAAGCAAAAGACAAAGGATGAGAATTCATGGACACAAGGAGGGGAACAACAGACATTGGATCTTACTTGAGAGTGAAGGGTGGGAGGAGGGAAAGAGTCAAAAAAAAAAAAAAAAACTACTGGAGACTAGGCTTAGTACCTGGGTGATGAATTATCTGTACAACAACCCCCCATTACATGAGTTTACCTATATAACACACCTGCACATGTGCCTCTGAACGTAAAAGTTTTTCTTTTTTTTTTTAGAAAAGAATATTTCTGGCCGGGCGCAGTGGCTCACGCTTGTAATCCTAGCACTTTGGGAGGCCGAGGCGGGTGGATCACGAGGTCAGGAGATCAAGACCATCCTGGCCAAGATGATGAAACCCCGTCTCTACTAAAAATACAAAAAAATTATCCAGACATGGTGGTGCGCGCCTGTAGTCCCAGCTACTTAGGAGGCTGAGGCAGGAGAATTGCTTGAACCCGGGAGGTGGAGATTGCAGTGAACCCAGATCGCGCCACTGCACTCCAGCCGGGGCAACAAAGTGAGACTCTGTCTCAAAAAAAAAAAAAAAAGAAAAGAAAGAAAAGAAAAGAATATTTCCATCACCTAGATGGTTATTTTGTGCTCCTTTCCAGTCAGTACCCCTCCTAGTTGTAACTATTACCTTGACTTCTGTTTTCATAGATTATATTTTCCCATTCTTGCGTTTCATAGAAATGGAATCATACAGTACACACCCTAGCTTCTTTCGTCCATCATGTGTTTGAGATTTATCCGGTGGATGTTACAATAGTTTGTTCTTTTATATTGTTGTGTAGTGTCTCATTGTGTGGCTAATCACAATTTGTCTATTGTACTCTTATGAACATTTGACTTGTTTCCAGTTTTTGGCTATTATCAATAAGGCTGCTATGAACATTGTTTTCTTTTCACTAGAATAACAGTGTTTTGGTTTCATTGCATTCATTATGGTTGTTTTTTATTAAAGGCAAGTAATTCTGGTTATCTATTTCAAATAGTGATAAAATAGTTCCTTTTAAAATTTAATTGATTTAAAAAACAAAATTTCTAGAAAATTATAAATAATTATACATTAAAAAATTTTCATTTGCATAATCATGCCAAAAAGGCAATAATGAAAGCAAACATTAAGTGTGTGATATATGTATAGGTATTTCATATGCAGTAAACTCATTTAACTATTGATTCTCACATAAATTGTGAAAATGAAATGTTATTATTTTCATTTCCTAACAATTAAGCTGAAAATCTGTTAGCATAAGTCTTTCCACATTGAGGATGAACAATCAGAATTCTTCAAACTTAAACATGTATAGCTCGAAAGCCCATAATCTTCTCACAATTCCAGCACAACATAAGAAGAATCTTGAAAGGATTCTCAGTGTAGCTTACATAGTCAAGATTCAGGCAAAAGAGAACATGTATGGCACTTGGATAAATAGTGACAAATGCATTTATCTAGGTTAACCACAAAGTTCCCCAAATACCCTTTATGAAGAACACTCTGAATGTATTTTGAAATCCTTTCCATTTAACTATCGAGTCACTTTCAGGAAATGAATTTCTACATGGAAACACAGCAGTGAATGTTGTCATCTGAACTATTAATATAATGTTTCATAGAAAAATATGAAAGGGGTAATACAGACTCGGGATTTTGTGTCTCCAGGACCCTGAGTTTGGGTGGAGGAATGTCTTCTTCTTGCTGTTTGCCATTAACCTGTCAGGACTAATCTTCTACCTCATATTTGGAGAAGCAGATGTCCAAGACTGGGCTAAAGAGAGAAAACTCACTCGTTTGTGAAGGTAAAGGATAATGATTTTCTGTATGGTTATAGCCATAGAAGCAGCTGAAGTTTTAAATTCTATGTCATTTTCCTTTCTTAGGTATCCCACCTTGGATGGAAAAGTCATTAGGCACCGTATGGCATAAAATAGAAGGCTTCCACGATGAAAATATCAGTGAAAAGAATTTTGTTTCCTGTGGCTCTTTTCAGTTACAAGACCAGTTCGTTATTTTGTTCAGACTTTTTTTTTGAGATGAATATAAGATGAATAAAAATTCAAATAAAATGATAACTAAGAACGCAGTTGTCATCTTCATAGAATTAACAATGGATTAAGAGGGCTTGCTGTGTGGGACCCAGTATGTTAGATTCCAGTACTGGATACGAGAAACAACATTTTAAAACTTTTAATCCAGGGTGACAACCTCACTAGGGCAATGATTTTTCCTGTTTGTGGAAATTAATACTACTTTCTATTTATTGGGTTGGGTATTGTCCATGTGTTCTTCCCTGTATGTCCTCCATTTATCTCTATGCTGCTCAGGCTCCAAGAGGCTGACCCATATGGATTGCATCCTATACTCCCTTGTCCACTGGCTTCTGCTAGATTTTTGAGGGAGATAGGTAGCGTCAGTGGGTGTTTATCTCTGACAGTCTCTCTTTTGGGGCGTGCAGAAGGTTGAGCTTTCTATTGCAGTTCACAGCTCCAGGAAGGCAGCCCTTTCCATATGTTCTAATAACTTCCCTCTTCGTTGTCCAGTCTTTTTTATTTGCCTTTATTTGGCAAGCTCTAGGGTTCTCCAGAATCCCTTGTGGTTTCCCTACCACCTGCCTAATCCTGTGTAAATTCTCGTTTTCAACAATGCTCACAAATTACCCAGTGTAAGTCTGTCATTTTTCTTCTTCTGGGATCCAAATAATTCAGTGGTTCAATTACTTATAAATCTCAAATATGAATGAATTTGTATTTTTGTAAAATGATAATGTGTAGGTGTTGGTGAGTTCAGGACCATGGTCTGGATTGACCCCTGTTTTGATTTCTACCATGTAGAATAAAGATTAGAGGCATCGAGTCATTTCATATAAAGGCAATGTGATAGACAATAGTTCTGAGTGAAAAATCAAGGCAAGGATTTAGAGGGCCAAGCTTGAATAAACACAACACTTACTGAGATCTTGTTATGTTCCAGAATCTGGAATCTTGGGACACTGGAGTAAAGGAGGCAGTCATTCTCCATCCTAATGTGGAGGACAGACACAATAATTGATAGCACTACACTGTTTTAGGTACAATAGCAGAGGAACATGTAGGGCATCATGAAAGACCAGATGAGGAGTTCCGATTCCAAGTGGTGGTAAAATCTTATCAAGTGATAAGATATTTTACACTGGAGCCCAATTTGCACAAAAGAATAAAATCAAGAAGCAGGATGGATTCTGAAGGGAATCACTTGCCTACATAATCAGTTAGGAAAGGAAAGAAAGTGGATTTAGGGAAGTGGGAGTGGTCAGAGTAAGGAGGTCTTGTTTGCTGTGTTAGGGAGTTCAAGGTATAACCTTGAACAAGCAGTATGATAGGAATCATAGCAATACTGACATGGGCAGATTTTCTCTCTAGATAGAACACTCTGACCTAATTTGAGAATCAAGAAGACTAGTTAAATGATCATCTGTGCAGTGGCTTACACAGCAGTGGTGAGGACTGAACTCACCTCAGCAGTGGTGAGGGCAGAAAAAGCTGAGATGAAGACAAGAAGAATGTTTATAAGATAGAACTGAAAGATCATGGTATTTGACTAGATGGATGCAGGAGAAGAAATGTGTCAAGGAGTCCTGGGTCTCTAACCTGAGAGACTGAATAGAGAGTGGTCTGAACAACTAAGCCAGGGAATGTAGCAAGATGAGACCTTTTCAAGGGGGAAGATCATGATTTGACTTTGGGACATGTTGAGTTAATGGTAATAGTGGGATAATCATGTGGACATGTGTGTTAGCTTCCTAGGGCTGCTCTAACAAAGTGCCACCAACTAAGTTTCTCAAAGTAATTTATTGTCTTACAGTTCTAGAAGTCCAAAATCAAGGTGCTGGCAGGGCTGGTTCCTTTTAAAGGCTATAAGGAAGAATGTGTTCTGTGCCTTTTTTTATTCTTTTAGCTTCTAGTAGTCTCAGGCATTTTTTGGCTTGTAGATGACCTTCTCCCTGAGTCCTCATGTCATCTCTTCTCAGTACACATCTGTCTTTGTGTCCAAATGTTCTGTTTTTATAAGGACATCAGTCATATTGCATCAGGGCCTACTCTAATGACATCATCTTAACTTGACCATCTGCAAAGACCCTATTTTCAAATATAGTCACATTCACAGATACTGAGTATTATGACTTCAACTTCTTTTGGGGGAACATAATTCAAGTCATAACAGCAAGCTCAACAAGGGGCCAGATCATTAATCTGAAACTTATAGAAACTATGAGAGTGAAATGGAGAAGAAGATAAAGGAGAAAAATGCAGATGTTCAGTACTGAAGACCTGAGTTTAGACCAAATGGCTCAAGAAGAGCCTGTTGATGGAAAATCACAAGCCAAGACAGAAGGCCAACATCTAAGGAGGGTCAAAAAAACAAATGCCCACACATAACAGAGATGAAAGAGTCAGGTGTGTAAGTGTGAGAAATAACAGGAGAGTAGAACACTCACTGAAAACTCATGGGCATGGCCTTTTAAGAAAGACCGCTGATGAGCAGTAACAAGTGAAGTGAAGAAGCTCAAACAGATGAGGTCAGAAAAGGAACTTAGTCACCTTGTGATCGGAATTCTTAGTAGCTTTTTCAGGGTACATTTAGCAGAGAGATGAGTGTATAGGTCAGTTTGCAGTTTGTTGGTGAACGAGGGTAGAGAAAGTAAGAGAAATATTTTCACAAAATTTGATAAAGGGAGATAGGCATATAGCAGAGAGGGATATTTCATTAATTGGTATTTCACCATCAGAGTGTAGAATCCTGAAGGAAGGAGGGCACTTGAGGGTCAACCATCAAGGTCTGAGTCAACATCGTGAGAAAGTTCTCCTCTCGAAGTTTGGGTCTCACCTCATTGTTGTTCTAACAAAGGGCAAAGGACTGTTCCTCTTTTGTTCTTCATATGTGCTTACCTTCATCACATTTCAAATTCTGCATTTTGGATTGTTTGTCCAGAAGTGACCAGTTTCTTCTATTAAAGATCCAGTTACCTGGCCTCCCTGCTTGAGCACACATATGACCAGAGATGTACCAACTTAGGATGGATTTCTGCTTGGTATTCTTTTCCGTATTCTTGCTTTTATCCATACACTCCAATCTCCCTTCCCGTGACCTCATGTTAAAAAATTCATTACTAGGCATATACACAGACTCTAGTACCATATCTTTCGTTTTCAGTGTGAATTTTTAAATAGGTATAATCCACATGATACTGAGAGCGAACTGTTTAAAGGTAAAATTAGTGAGCTATTTTATTAAGATAGGAAATTTTTAGGTGATATTCAAAGACAATGACATGAATTGTGAAACCTTTGTTTCCCCAGGCAACACCAACCTCGGACAGGGATGGGGTAATGATTCACATTTATAGGGGGAAGAATTGTCTTTGTGTGACTTCAGTCACAGTTTGCTTCTATCAAATCTTCAGTCTCCAGTGAAGCTCAAATATTTCTGGGAATCCTAATGAAGGACTTGTTTTTATGAGTTTTGTGTTATTGTTGCAATGTCACGATTGTGTGTCAAGTCAATATGAAGTTTAAAACCATTACCAATATGTTCACGTGATTTACTCTTTTCCATTATCTGGATATCCCATTACACAGGCACAGTGGATGATTTAAGTATTCCAGGAAGCTGTTTCTATACTAAGGTAGCTAGCAATAATGTGACTATGCCCATTATCAACCCAAGCCACATAAATGTATCCCAAATTTTAGTCCAGCAAAATACATTCCCACTGTAGCCTTCCCTTCACCATATCAAAAAATTCCAAGAGCAATTTCATTAACATAGTAACAATAGGATGGAGATAGTAATTTTAAACAATTGTGGTTAAAATAGCTTACTTCTAGAAATTTTCAAAAATATGAGACTATATGAACATGTTACTAGTGCCCTCTTCCCCGCCAGGACTTTAGAAAAGGTCCATGCAAATGAAAGATCTTTAACCTTGTCAATGAGATGAAACTCGTGATGTTTCAAGGCTGAGCCATGCTTTTATGAGCCCTCAGTGTCAGTACTTAATAAATATCTGGTGAACTAAATTGAAGCACTGACATCTTCCAAATGTCTCACTCCAATTCACTACATGAGTTTCCAAGCAGAATTGCTTTGTCTACAATGTCTTGGAGAGGTTTTTGGTAAAGCCAATCCTTTAGTTCTTACCCACCAGCCACTCTCTTCCGTGAGATTCTAGAGTCTGAACGTACACTCACTTTTACTCTTCCATTAATTGCGTCTCTTTTCTATTTACCGAACCATTGTTACCAGATCGCTAATACTGACATTGTGTGCCTGTCTCCATTATTGCTTTGGATAAGTTTCTTAGGGATTTTCCTCATTGCCAGGGACTCTAGTCACTAATGAAGAAGTTCCTAGTGACTCCAACTCTACCTGACTTCTCTATATGCCAGGCATGTATAGATGTTATTGAATATTAGCAATGAAAACAGCTTAGGTTCAGTCTGAGACAATGCCCACATTAACTATATGTTGAGCATATGTGCAGAAGTGCAGAAATAGATCAATCTAGAGGTTCTTTCCCATCAAAATTTAAAAATAGTTGCATTCAGTCATTATAGCAAACACTCAATATTCCACCCATATCCCCTCAGTTCTCTTTACCATTTTGCTGCATACCAGCTCCTGATGAGTTTTCATTCCCAACACCTGGAACCTGTTTTTTCTGTTAGAGGGCTCCCTTGGGCTGCAGGAGCCGGTTTTGCCTGCCAACCTGGATGTGCCTGGGAATTTGTGCCTGCCTGGGAATAGTTCTTAGTCAAAGCATCACTACACAGATATAAATGCTCCATCTCCCTTTGCTTCTGCTTGGCAAGCGAGGTCCACACTGTCTCCCAAATCCCCTAAGAATTGAACTGGACCTTACATTATATCCTTTCCAGATCTACTTATACTCTCCTTAGTCAGGTTTTCCTGGAAATATATCCTAATAAATCATTTTTACAGGAATCCTCATCTCAGGGTCTGCTTCTAAAGAATCTGACCTAAACCAGTTGTTTCCACAAGAAGACCTAGGATGCAGATTCTTATAATAA